TTTATTTATTTATTTATTTATTTATTTATTTTATTTTATTTTATTTATTTGTTACTCAAAAAATAGAATGAAAAACTAAATGTACCTTAAAATAAATAATGGAAAAACAGTCGTCTTTCTAAATTTTCTGAATCCGCCGGTTCCTGTAACACAAAGTGATTCTTTTCTAATGATTTTTAAAAGATGTCATACCACTCTTTTACTAATTACCGTAAAAGTAAACGTGACTAGCAAAAATAGATTTCTCCACTGTTGATGCAACAGATAAAGTTAAACGACTTGTTTCGTGTTCAGCGTGTTATCGACTGGGGACACCTCACCCTGATTCGCACCGGTTTATAACGTCATCGGAGATCGTTTAAAGGAGGGAAAAGAAGATCAAAGAATGAACAATGAATGCATGAAAACAAGTTAGGATCGTGAAAGGAAGCATTTAGTTTTTTTATTTGGAGTCGCTGTATCACACTGCAGCAGCTGCTCCCCGCATGCGAAGTGGGTCCCCATCTGTCAGTCGTATATTCAAAGTTTCCGTGAACCAGAGTCGCAGGTGACGGTTTACATAAAAAAAGACTTTGAAGCTTTCCCAAACTCACCCAACTGTCGATCATTTGGCTCGTTCAAATCCGGTTGTTGATTCTAGACTTTTCAGGAGAGATCTTCGGTGACGTCATAACCATAAACTAACAACGAAAATCTCCTTAGCATCCAGTCAGAACACTCGTCATTGTACAACTAGTTATAAATTGAATTTTATATCAATTTAACTTTCTTCTTATTTTATTTTTCAGCTAGGTATCAAAGAACTACGAGAGAGCAAGAGAGAGCAGAATCTGACGGAGCCGCAGGTAAGTAAATCATATAATGCGTTGCTTTAAATTTAGAATACCTGACTATTCTCAAGTGTGCGCAACTGACTTTTGCTCGAAAAACGTAAAATGGCGAACGATACTTGTTTAAAAGTCTTTTAAGATAACGCCTGGGGTACTAACACGTACGCATACTCTTCATATTATTCCTTATAATTCGGCTTAGCTGGTCTGCGATGAATACTAGTGAATAGTGAATTATTATTGATTCCCTCAGCGGCCAGAATTTTGCAAAATGGACTGCTAGAAAAGACATCTCAGGAATTGAATTAATTGCTTTTCAGGTCATAAAAATCTTTTTACATTCATGTTTGGAAGACAACGTCAGGTAAATGTTGTCAAATGCGACGCAAGGAACGTAGATAAATGATAACCTTTCGCGTGCGCGTTTGCAGAGAATGGACCGCGGAGACGCGCCAGATTAAAAAGAAACTTGCTCCGTCCTTATTGGCGAGAATATTGCTCTTGTTCTCGTGTTTTTCCAAGTACAAGGTCCATAAACCTGCGAAAAAGGAAAAGAACACGACCAACATTTGAATACGGACCTCACGCTAAATGAATAACAAATATATAATATGGGGGACCAGTGGTCAGCATGAGCGTGAACGTACTGGCAAAATTTATTGTTTATTAGAGTGGCGTTCATTTTGCGCATTAGCCCGTTGATTTAAATGGCACAACTTTGTCGAAGTTGTAGGTTTTATTTACAAGAACCAATTATTTTTATGCTTGGTTGACGTAAGTTTGCATTGTTGCATGCGACAAGGTTATACCGTTTAAATCGGCCCTTTGAAGCCAGGTAACCTGGTTACGTCGTAGAGACAATTATCAGATGAATTATGAAGACCCTATAACAACGTTCTAAAAAAAAGGCACTGCGTTATGTTCCGAAAACATCCGCTTTAAGAAGGATATTATTTTCAGCATCAATTAGCCTCTGCCTGAGGAGAGAATCTCTCCTAATAAGCGGATGCTTAAGTTAAAGGGAGGAGCTCATAATAGAGGTACGGGGTTTGACGTCATTTCGACGGTTTTACGCCACTGTTATAGACCCTTTTCATAAATGGCTGCCAATTTAAAATTCTTTTGTATGCATTTAAATTAGCCTCACTAAACTCGTTTGGGATTAAAAATTCTTTTGAATTAGCAACTCAAAAACGAGGTTAGTCAGGCTAATTTTAATACTTACACTGAAGAATTTATAATTGGCAGCCATTTTCGAAAAGGGTCTTTTTATCTTAAACTGAACTTCCTCAGCTTCTCTGTTAATGCCGCTAAACAAAAGAATACGATAAATTAAAAAAAAACAAAAAAAAAACACTAATCTAGATTTAAAAAGACCATGGGATATCATGTCTTAGATAATAACTTCCCCGGTGAAAAATTGAACCAGTAAAGAAAGCCGATGATATCATCACTCAAAGTAGACTGTTATCAGTTGTTTAGCATTGCGAATTTTCTGTGCTCAGCTGTTACACAGGCTGGCTAGCCCGCTCGTGGTTTCTTGGTTTCTCTAAGGTGCTTAAAATGTATGATCACACTTCCAAAAAGCTAGCGGATTGCTAAGGCGACAACAATGAGACAGCAATTTTGTGAAAACGTTAACTCATATATGCCTTTATCTGCCGTGGGTTGGGTGCTAAATACAATCCATATTTCACAAAACACGAGTTATGGTTGTCACTGGATGGACCTGTAGATAGTAAAAGTTTTTAACTAATTTATAGCTATCGCAGCCGAATAATTTCCTTGCCGCCTGCGACGCTGAACTTTCAACGTTGCCTTGAGCTTATTACATTTTTTTGTTAGCGCACGTGACTCATACTTCTCAATTATATCAACGCCTTTAAGTGCTGGTTGGATACGTCTTTACTGGCTGCAATAAAATTTTATTGAGGAAGTAGTGGAGATAATTTTACAAATGTTGTACACAAATAGGGCTCATTGGACAATCATGCAAGTCTTAAATGTCTCAGTTATTTATTTTCGAAAAGAAAAGCCGATAATAATTTATGCTGTGTTATCCTCAGGCAAGAATGGTAAACAGAGTTTAAAGTGTTGACCCTCTGAGCTAAACAGAGAAGTAAGTTCATCCGCCAAGAAGATGTGGTTTTCTTTCGGGGGTCGCAGAGTTCTACAACTATGTTTTTTGGTTCTGTATATTTTTACAGTAAATTCTTTAAAAAATGGTGAGTCAATAATTGAAACGATGTTGGTAATACATAAGGCGGCAGCGCCCCATTAAAAAAAAAACACTCGATTTCAACGTTATACATGGTTATAAGACTTAATTTAATTGAGTAAAAATGCTTATGAAACCCAGCCTTCATATGATACAAAATAAAATCGATCGGAATCTTGTGATCACTCACATTAATCAAGGTAACGCGCTGGAGAGCAGTTTCAACCGTTTAAAAAGTAGTTGATATCATAGATTTAAGCCACAAAGGTAATCATTCACGTATGTCGAGAAAGTTAAAGCTTATCCCATGTATTTGTGTGTTCTGGGTAAAAGTGCTGTAGATATTGTCCACCTTTCTCTCCATTACCTTCTTCTCTTCCTCTCGTCTTCTCTATACCTTACGCATTTTTATCTTATTTATATTTTTATATTGTAAATATGTTTGATCAGCTTTTTGAATATAATATTAGATCTTGTTATTATATATAAATTATATTTTTTATGTTAAAGTGTCCCCATTAATATTTCTGCTATTTTAGCCTGACACTTAAATTAAGATTACTACTACTACCACTACCACTACTACTCCTCTTGGAGTCAGCTACTCTGGGGTAAAATAGCTCGTATTCATTCAGTTCATTTTCGCGTCTCTGGATGTTCAGCACGTCTAAACACTGAAATAATCACTGATGCTAACTTACAATCTATGAACTTCTTATCTATATCTGTATATAAGAATATCAATTGAAACCTACTTCTTCTTCCAATCTTTTTTACTTTCTCCTCTCTTCGCGTCTAGCTCAGTAGATTTTTTTTTATCTTTCACATTTAATTCTGCAAAATATATCTAACCGAATTCGCAAAAACATGCCCGCATTGACTCAGAGACAGTCCCAGTGACCAGAAGTCCTCTGACCACCCCCCCGGCAAGGAGATTGGCCAATCACGCATGCACGTGGCATGGACCACTCCAGCAGGGTGCCATGTCAACACAGAAACCTCAAGCAAGTTCAAACAACTGAGTAAAATACCCAGAAACACAGTCAACATCAAGCTTATTTAACACTGAAAACTCANATTCTTTCATGGAATTCTATGTGATACACCGAAAAAAATCAAGGGGTGAAAATTTGATCATAGTACCACTGGTCCCTTAGGAACAGTTTTGTTTTCCCTGAAATCTCACTGTTTTTCTATCTTGGGAAACATTGGGATTCTTGGGAAAACTAAGCTGTTTCCCAAGGGACAACTGTACTGTACTATATAGCAGGATTCAGCAGTCAAGAGGTTAATTTAGAAAACTGTATGTAGGTGTGTAATGCATCTGATCTCAGAGGGGAAAAGTTGAAAAAAGAAACAGACTGTTGGGTCTGAGTTAGAGATTGGATTGCCAGATGACAGATGACCAATAATTGCACCACACCATTGCATGCAACATTACAGCTAGGAGACACACTGAAATTGCTCTAGGCAATGTTGACGGTGATTCTAGTTCTTTTGGAAAATTGCGCACACGGTTGCATAGCAAAACTTGGGGGTCGACACAAAGTCAGAGAGCAACTTGTCTGAGTGAACAAATTCTGTGCTAATGGCCAAGGTTAAGAAAGTGAGGAGTGAAAAGAATGAATGATATCATCCTGTTTTTCAAAGGCTGACTTATTTTGGGGACCAACATCTTTCGAGGAGAAAGAAAAGCAATTAGCAATTGTGAAGCCTTGAGAAACAAGATGAGAAAGAAAATGTTCATAACCTGTGGAAGGTTTCCGCCAAGATGCATTCTCTTCGGCTGTGTCCCTAGGCCTCAATGCTAGTGGAAGAAAAGTGAGGAGTATGCATCAATTAAGCTTTTCATGTCATGATCATTATTTTAATGTCATATTATTTTGCCCTAGATTAATGTTATAGCAAGGCTATGGGAAAAACTGTCAGTGGTTATATTATGTAAGACCACTTAAGGTTACTTCAAACCTTCGTGGGACTACTTTTTCTAAATTTTCCTTTTTCGAACCACATTAAAGTTCAACAAAACTTGCACTCGTTTTCCGAGAGAATCCCTCCTCTTTAAATGAATTAATAGGGTATGTAGAATCGACGGTTTTCCTTGAAATTTGGCCAGAACATTCACTGATAGATACAGAACAAAAAGGTGTTGGCGAATTCTTTTATTTCAAATACTTTTCTTGTGGTGGTCTCTAACGCAACACCTTACACAAATTTTTCGATAGTGGAACTTGACAGATCTATAAAAAGATGAGCAATAGAAATGAAAGAAAATGTTGACATGCTTTGAGAGATTAATGCTTTGTGATTAACACTGCACAGTTATTTTGCATCAACGATCGCATTTGATACTTGATTAATTTGCAGGAATTCAGTAGGTGGTTTTGGTGTTAATGGCTTCTGCAGTCGGCAAAAAAGAATACAATTTAATTGAATTCTACATTTTATAACCTTTCTATTGATATATAGTTTGACGGTGTTTCCTTCAAAACAGCGCGCATAAGAATTTTTTTATGGAGGACACCCGTGAAGGTTTCAAGTAACCTTAAGGTCACATATAACTGCCTCTCATTTAATGGTAGTGTAAGCTCTGTTTTAACTGTCTTCTGCCTCACAAGCTTCTGCATGTAGTGCTAAACACAGAACCATACATACAGTTGCTTTACGTCAATGTCATATGGCAGCTCTTACTATTCTTAGTGTTGAAAATCAAAACTTATACATCTAACCAAATTCGCAAAAACATGCCCGCATTGACTCAAAGACAGTCCCAGGGGCCAGAAGTCCTCTGACCACCCCCTGGCTAGGAGATTGGCCAATCACACATGCACGTGGCATGGGCCACTCCAGCAGGGTGCCATGTCCACACAGAAGCCCCAAGCAAGGTCAAACAACTGAGTAAAATACCCAGAAACACAGTCAACATCAAGCTTATTTAACACTGAAAACTCAAATTCTAGCTAGTTGGGGGTGTCAGTAAAAGACACCC